ACCACTCTAGTTTGCCATGCCTTAAGCCATGGTTGCAGCACCAGCCAATCCATCTGCCTGTTTATTTCCCAGTTTTACAAATGGAAGCTAAGAAAGTATACCAGTGACGACTTGTGGACACAGTCATAGGTTTATATTTGTAGAGACTTATCGGCACTCAATGGGTTATGTGGTCAACATCAAGCCGGTCATCTTTACTCCCCAGGTATTTCCTCGTACTCATTTCAGGTTGTTTCAGCCTGGGAGCCAAGGTCAGGTTTTCTTTTTCATTCACATTGTGTCTCATGTGGATTCGAACTCAGAAACCTTTAGGTCAGCAGAAAGGGTCCAACCACTTCTCTTTCATGGCTCTCTGACTTACAAGGCACCCCCGAAACACCCAGACGTTCTGGTCGTATAGAGGTTAATTTTCCTTGCAAGTAGACTACTGCAGGTTACAGCTGACTGGCTGGACATGTTATTATGGGTACCCGATTTATAACTTCTTTGGGTGGGGGAGGGGGTAGCGCGGTGGGTGAGGGGGAGGGGAGGGAGGTGACCAGGAATCTGGAACAAGCTCTGCTTGTCTGCAATCTGGACTGAAATTTTTACATTTCAGGGTAGTTAAACTTTGATAACAGACCAGAGGGGACACATGGGCGTACAGACAAGTGAATAGGGCAGCTGTCTATCAAACAATTGGTCTTGGTTTAATCCCTAGCAAAAGCATGACATATTTTTCTCCAACAACTACTGCCCATGCAACTAAATTTATATCGCATAAAAGTAGTTCTTTCAACCCCGTTCACATAACATAAAACTAGTTCCTCCAATCCCGGTCACATAACACAAAACTAGTTCCTCCAATTCCGGTCACATAACACAAAACTAGTTCCTTCAATCTCAGTCACATATAATAAAATTAGTTCCTCCAATCTGCCACAAAACGAGATTCTCAAATCTATCAAGTCACTTTAAACTAGTCACTCCCGAATATTCCTTCACATAAAAGTAGTCCCGCCCATCTAATTCAAATGTTTCCAAGCTACTTGTTGTCAAGAATGAAGGCCAAATGTGGCCAAACCTATTGTTCATGTGGGGATAAATATCATGCATAAGAGGATATGCAGAGAAGCAGACGGGGATAAATCAATGGACAGAAACTGACAAGCAGAGAGATGGCTGGCCACGAGGGAATGGATGAATGGATGGATGGATGGATGGGTGGATGGATGGATGGATGGAGGTGTGGGTGGATGGATAGATGGATTGATGGATAGAGATGTGGATGGATGGATGGAGGTGTGGGTGGATGGAGGTGTGGGAGGATGGATGGAGATGTGGGTGGATGGATGGAGGTGTGGGGGTGGATGGATGAATGGATCAGGGTTGCCATATTTTTTATGCCAGATTCTACAAACCTGGCATATTTGAAATTGAACTGGCATAAGATAATGAACTGGCATATTTTGGCATATTTGGGTTTTTCCTGGCATTGTAGACCTACCTACAGTTAACAACTTTAATTCAGTTTGACTTTGTTGTGATGTCCTGGCACGGACTAACAGAGATTCGCGCCATTACTTGTTGTATTCGTTGTCTTGTTAAACGGATCATGACTTCGATGAACCAAGGCCCTCTGTAATTTATGTTAATCTACTAGAATAAATGTGGGACATAACACCAAAACTCACCACTGATATCAAGTGATTCAGACTGTTCAGAAACTACTTGAAAATAGAGAGGATATAGACCTAGTTCTATCTGTGATAGATTTTATTACTTTTACCAATGGCCACGTCATCCAAAAACTGGAAAGCATCTTATGACATTGCAAACATAATAGTAACTGGAAGAAAACATACCAATGGCTCAAAAGATCTTCAGACGGATCAGAGGCAGCATATTGTAAACTGTGTCAATGCACTTATGCACCAAGAATTAGTAGCATATCAAATCATGAAAAATCCGAATAACACAGGATGAAAACTCCGCCAAAAAGCCAGTCACAGCTTATTACAACAATGACTCCTAGACAAAGTAAAGATAAAGTTAAAGGCAGCAGAGTTGCAACTTGCTGTATGCATGACCTGCCATTGTGCACTACGCACAAATGATCATCTAAGTGAAATCACGAGAGCGCATGGTCGGGGTGCACATACAGTTACATATAACATCTATAATATATATATAATAATAATATGTGGGGGAAAAAACATTATATCGCCTGCACGTAAGGATGACCTTATTGATGATTTTCGGAACAAGAAATATGCCATCATTATAGATGAGCTGCACAGACTTCATCCTATCTGAGAAAATGCTTAAAGAGTGTACATTCAAAATGGTATATGCTGTATCTTCCACTGGTTCCAGTGAGGATGACAGTGAAGAATTCAATCTAGAGTTTTTAATGTGATGTGTTACACTTTATTTGGCATTTTCTGGCATATTTTGGGTAATGGTTTGGCATAAAATGAAGTTTTTTTTTTATCTGGCAACCCTGGGAAGGATGGAGGTGTGGATGGATGGAGGTGTGGGTGGATGGATGGATGGAGGTGTGGGTGGATAAATGGAGGTGTGGGTGGATGGATGGAAGTGTGGGTGGATGCATGGATGGAGGTGTGGGTAGATGAATGGAGGTGTGGGTAGATGATTGAATGGAGTTGTGGATGGATGGGTGGAGGTGTGGGTGGATGGATGGAGGTGTGGGTGGAAGGATGGAGGTGTGGGTGGATGGATGGATGAATATTGAATAGATGTATACGTAGTCGATGGGTGGGTAGATGGATGGGAGGATGCGTGGGAAGACAATCAGTCAGTAAAGCAGGGCAGACAGTAGACAGACAGAGAGATGGTTAAATAAACCAACACTATGACAGATAAACGGACAGATAGATCGACTGCTGCATAGTTGGACAAGTTATTCTCAGATTTAAAAAAAAAATTACAATAAACTTAGTTGCATATCTTTTACAGGACGTTACAGAACCAACCCTAGCATCTTTTTGGATGTTGTGGTTTTTCCAGGAATATTTCCCGTTTAGTAGTTTGCCATTGTTTCTGAATGATCAGCTCTCAGTACTATTGACGAAACCAACGCAAGACAAACCATCCGCAGCTGGGATCGAACCCGTCAGCCCTGCATTTCGATGCTGGTTTGCAACGGATTAGCCACAGACGACGATGAGATAAACAGACTTTTTAAAAGAAAATATTGTCTATACTCACTTGCTGACATTCTCTACCGTACAATTATCTGTCAGATTTGCGTACATTGTGTTTACTTCAGTAGATTTCTCTTCCCGCTGAGTGTTTACAGTCGACAACTTCTCTTTTGTATTTTCAATCTCCTGGGTCAGTTTACTGAGTCTGATAAAAGAGACCAAATACAGAAAGTAAAGATCTTTTCACACGCCTTTAGGAGCATCGGGCATACAGGAAAAGCACCCATATTTTTACATACCAATTGGCACTAGGTGGGTAATGTGATCATCATTACGCCAGCCGTCTTTACTTTCCCAGGACAAACATTCTGGTATCCACTTTAGGCTGGCTAGACCTGCAGTTCTCCATATCATGATAAAAATCCACGCTGCCAGCAGTGGCTTTCGATCGCGGTAAGTAGAAATTACGAGTCGGACTCGCAACGCCTTAGTCTCAGAAGCCGCTAAGACCACATACAAGGGACATAAAAATAAACAATCTATTCACATGACACGACGCTTATCAAATATATGGCACAAGTCTAATATTTGTATACATCGTTTAATACTTGATGCAAAGCATTCGAAAATCTCACTTAACCTACTTCACCTTGATCTAAACACCTGGTCATGCTGGCGTAAAGGGCAATGAGCGATCGGACCAACGTCAAGCAATGCACCAAGTCATGTGGGAAGAAGCAGGGACAGTGCAGACATCGTCAACGCTGTCCACACTTACTCTCAACCAGCAGAAACTGTTTGCATTTTAAAGACATGTTATGAAGTTTACAGAAAACACACAGCTAAAGCAGTTGGAAATGCAGATGAAATTCCCGTACTTTTTTTTTTTTTTTTTAATGTCTGGTGAAATAACAGTGAACAAAACTGGGGAAAGAAACAAACAGTGCAGGCGTGAGTTTCAGTATAAGAAAAACAGCGGTTTATCATTATCAACACAAGGTTTACCCGTTATGAATTGGAACGAAGAAGACACAAACAATAGATTGCACAATTTATTGCCTGGCATATCTCGCTGTATCTCGAAAGGTTGCCGAGATTCGTCATCTGCGCCATGAACTCTGTATACAAAAAGATATGGTTCTGACATTGAGGCTGCCCTGGTAAAACAGGCAGTTTTATTTAATCGTTGTTGAATTTAAATTCAGTTCTAAAGGAATTACTTATATGCTTGATTTATGTAATTGTTACTGTAGTATGCACCTGCCGAGATACAGCGAAATATGCCAGGCAATACATTGTGCAAACTATTGTTTGTGCCTTCTTTGTTCAAGTTTATCATGATACTAGACTCCCAAATTACATCATTTTTTAAACGTAAGTCAATGCCTTAGTAACTGGAATATTGGTGGAGTGCAAGAGAAAGGGTGATTAACTAAAGATTTGTTGTACTCTTTACTTATATATTTTGTACCAGTGACATTTATGCCTAATATTTTTGCCTAATATCTCGAATATAAGACGCACCCTAATTTTAATCAACTAATTTCGTTTAAGATAGTGTAAAACCACCACTGTATGACTCTAATTAATTGAACACAAAAGAAATTGTGACTAAAAAGCCAGTTCCTAGTACATTATTTTTGGCAACTGACAAAACTCCAGAGATGAAAACATGAAAAACTAAAGTGATAAAAGGAATTATATAAGTCAGAGTTGTTTGGTTGCTTTGTGAAGACAGTTGAGATTTAAGTACAGAAAAAAAATGTTCTCTAAAACTATGTGATCCAAAAGATCACAAAGGTAGCAAAACATGCGCCCAGGAAAGCATGATGATAGGAGAATTCCCATTGTCAATATAAAAGAAATAGACGAGGTTTCACGAGCAGACAGACAGGAAAAAGTACAAAAGCTATAGTAAAAAAAAAAAGGTTTAAAGCTTTAAATTAAAAGGCATAAACTGCATTACACCGAGTTTCATACCAAAAAAACTGAAATTATCCTGCTGAGTATGTCCTGCTGATAGTGTCCCACAAAGCAGGGACCCTGTAGCTTCAGTGACGACCCCCGGGGATTTCCATAAGAATTGTAGGCATGCACTGAATGAGGCAGTTTGTAAACCCATCACCATGAGGGAAACGGCATAACCACTTAGCCAAGGAGACCCGATATAGGAGTTTATAGTTTTTCATGCACATACAGACTATATATATATATATATATATATATATATATAGAGAGAGAGAGAGAGAGAGAGAGAGAGAGAGAGAGAGAGAGAGAGAGAGAGAGAGAGAGAGAGAGAGAGAGAGAGAGAGAGAGAATAAACTAAGCTGAGTTGGGTTGAGTTTAATCAAGAACCGACATCACAACACTCAGGGCATTTCAATAAGAGCTCCGTCCCCTTCAGCAGCCAGCACAGAGTGCCAATACCAATGATTTTCTGATTATACATCCGTCTTGCCTTTCATCTGAGCGTTGAGTATCGGCCAGAACCCCTCGTCACTCCCAGCTGCATCACTCTCGCCAGATTGTGGTGATCCATTTGCTCATCCGAATTGTACACACTCTAACCACGTCTGCCTCATCATGCATCAGTACTCCACCAAGTTTTGTCGAGCCAGCTAGTCTGTCCGCCTGTTCATTTCCACTAAACTTGGACTAATCATCATCAGTTCTCGTTATGCCTAGTGGCACATGAGGCTTCAGAGAGAACATTCCATGCTTTCCTGTCCTGTGCAATTTTCCATGTCAAAGATGCCGCACTCATGTCACTTTCCATCGTTCGTCTCCATGTTGTTTTTAGACGCCCCTGTTTTCTCTTTCCCTCTGGTGTCCATGAGAGAGCTGTTTTGGCAGGTATATCAGGATTCATTCTCATAACGTGGCCAAGCCATTTCCATCTTCTCTCGGTTATCATACTGTCTAAAGTTTCTTGGTTTGTGACTTGAAGTAGTTTAGTGTTTGAGATTGTATCTGGTCAGAAAATGTTGATAATTCTACGTAGACATGTGTGGTGGAAGGTGGACAGCGTGCGTGTATCCTTTTTGGTCATTCTCCAGCATTCCGCTTCATAAAGAAAAACTGGCAAAATGATGCTCTTGTAGAGTCGGAGTTTCGTTCCTCTGCAGTAATAATTGGATTTCCAGATTTGCCTCATCCTTCCAAAAGCAGCTCTAGCTTTGTTCAGACGTGACTGTATGTCCTCTTCGGTCCCTCCCGGCAGGGACACTACACTGCCAAGATGTGTGAAATGTTCTACATTTTCAAGAGTTTGGTTATTTATGGTCACTGGTTGTTGGTTTGGACTGCTTGTCATGATCTTAGTTTTCTTTGTATTTATTCTCAGGCCCACCATTTATGCTGTGCTGTGTATTCTGTTACTTTTTTCTTGTATATGTTCATGTTTATGTGATAGGAGTGCTATATCATCTGCAAAATTAAGGCCCTCAAGCATGGTGAATGGAGTCCATCGTATGCCTCTCAATGTCCTGTCTACTGTGTTCTTTAGTATCCAATCAATCACAAGGTTGAAGAGGAGAGATGACATAACACATTCCTGTCTTACACCTGTCTTTACTGGGAAAGATGCATTGTAATTTATTTATACTGCAGGAAAAGTCTTTATAGAAGAGAGCAATTATGTTGACTCTTTTGTCTGGAATTCCATAATGTCGTAAAATTTTCCATAAACTGTCTCTATGGACGCTGTCAAAAGCTTTCTCAAAGTCCACACAGTTTATATATATATACTTCTCTGCCATTCATTGCATTGTTCTAAAATGTTACGTATGTGTTCAGTTGTTCCTCTGCCCTTTCTGAATCCTGCTTGTTCTACTCGTATGCATTTATCTACTTCTTTTTCAAGCTGCATTATGATGATTTTACCAAATATTTTGCTTGTACTGAGAGTAGAGTAATTCCCCTCCAATTATTGCAGTCTGTTAAGTCTCCTTTTTTGGGGATTTGGACTATTGTTCCTTTATTCCAGTCATCAGGCAACCCTTCTTTTTCCCAAATATCCTTGAACAATGGTTCTAGAATGCTAGCAGTAGTGATGGGATCTACTTTGAGAAGTTTTGCTGGCAGTTCGTCTTTGACTGGTGCTTTGTTGTTCTTGAAAGTGTGGATAGATTTAAGGATTTCTTGTTTGCTTGGTGGTTCAGTAAAAATGTCAATGTCCTGAGAGGCTGGTTGAATATCTGGGGGATTTTCAGGATCAGGTCTGTTCAAGAGGTCGGAGAAGTGTTTAGTCCACTGCATGTCTTGTTTTTGTTCTGTGGTAGCAGTCTGCCTTGGTTATCTCTCATGGGTTTGCTATGATAATTGTTTCTGCTTTCGCAAATTTGCTGGGTAATTTTGTGTAGGGTTTGTAGATCATGTGCTTTAGCAGCATTTTCTGCTAGATTTTCCATAAATCTTCTTTTGTCAGCTCTGGCACTTTTCTTTGTCATGTTATTTAGTTCGCTATATTCTAACATTAGTTTGTGTTTCTGACATTTTGATTTAGTGTGATTTATGAGACTCTTTTATTCTTTTTCGCTTGGCAATATAGTCTATGGTTTGACTGCTTATCCATTCTTTCCACTAAACTTGGACTAAGAAGCTTAATTATGGGGGGGGGGGGGGGGGGGGGGGGTTATGATGTTTCGGCAGCAGTCTTGATCGGCAAAAACCACAACAAAAAGGGAGAGCACCCTGACCACCGGAAGGTTTGTGAATAACTAAAAAACATTGGAAGATGAAAATGTGATGTGGAACGAATCAAAAATTAAAGGATTTAACATGGTGATAATAATAATAAAATATAGTTTAGTAATGATCGTAGTAGCTGTAGAAATAATAGTAAATAATGTCAATGGTGATAATAGTAATACGAATACAAAAAATGATTAAAAAACGAATAAATGTAACACATAAAATAAAAATTGAAAAAGAGTTACAAAACTATTCAGATGCTGAACATTGATACCTGCTTGGCTAAGAATGTGGTATTTATACTCCCGAAATACCGAAAACATTAGGAAACATAAAAAAAAAAAAAAAAATTGTTTTACAAACCTTTCCTGAAGTAATTCCACTGTTAAATCATTGACTTCTATCACACTTGCTTTCAAAGACCCAGAATAGCCTTCCAGTAGTTTTTCATCAAATTCAAACACAATCGGCTCAGGTGGGGAGGATCTAAAATGCACATTAATTTAATTAACTTGAAATTATCATTGAAAACACAGCAAAGCAAGCACACCCAGGATTTTTTTAAAATATGAAAACTAAATTGTATGCCATCTTCACAATAATGGTTGGCTAAAGTATTTCCTCTGCTGTCTTCAGAAATATTATGCAGCGAGGCTGCAGTGTTTTCCACAATGCAACTCTCGTACCATCATTAAAAAACCTTGAAAGCAGTTGCTTTAAAAACAAAAATAATCTGTCAGCCTCAGAAATCAAACCCTAAACTTGAGGATCATGTAATTTTTGAAATACACGAACCTCAAAATATAAATATAAAATTATTATAGATAGGCACAATAAAAAAAAAAAAAAAAAAAGCATAAACAGTAATAATAAATTTCACAGTATTTTCATCTTTCATCAAATCCTATCATGTAAATATTAATATCAATCATCTTCTCTTTTGAGTTCACTGGCTGTTAACACCCGCAAAAAGTTCTTGTTCATCCACTTCAGGACTTTAGTCTTGTTCCAGAACTTGAGTTTTGAATGCACATCCACTTTACAGATCTGGCTTATTTGTGTGCAGACTGTTAGTTTCTTGCTGTTCATGCAGATTGACTTCAACTTGGAAGGTTACCCCTGATTAGTAACTTTTTACATCTTCTAACATTTTGCATTGCTAACTTTATTATGGTAAATCGTGACTTTATTAACTCCCCTTTGTAGTGTATATATTGATTTTGTTAACACAGTTTATCATGTGCATTTTGACTTTAAAAAAAATGTGTCAATGTTCTTTTTCTCCTTTTGTTCGCTTGAAACAAATTATTTATATCTGTAATGTTGTATCTAGTATAAATTTCACCGTCTTTTGTAATTCACTTAGCGAGCCGTAAAGTTCGACTGGCACCGATGTTTCTCTTGGCCACAAGTTTTGCCTTGATATGTTGTATTTGGGACAGTCTTGGAGGACATGATTTGTTGTCTCAGGTGCCAGTCCACATGTGCACGTGGCTGATTCGCCAATTTTAAATTGTGTGTACATGTGACTGCGAAGTTGATTGTGTCCTGTTCTAAGGTGTAAAATAGCAACTTGCTCTGGTCTGTTCATAAAATGGTAATCGTCTGGGCCGATTTTGGTAGCTTTCTGATTTTGTCATGTGAATAATGTGCACTTACTTGTACAAATCAATAAAGGTGCTAGAATATTCCTGCCCTGATTGGATCAGGCTGACTGCATGAGACATGTTCTGTCTGGCTGTCTGGAAGTCAGTGCTGGCTGTGTTTGTATAGTTCAAAAAATCTTCCAGGATGAGTTGTCTAAACAGAGAGATTGTCAATAAGAGACTTAACACATTTTTAAAAAGTTAATTCCATAATCTTTACAGGAAGTAACAAAACTAACTCTAGAAATTTTGGCCTAATTGGTTTTATTTGGCGATTTTACATTCAGCAGTTTGCCACTGCACTGGATGGTCGGCTCTCGACTGTTGAAATAAATCAAAACCACCTACTGCCAATTTGCTTTCAGATGCAAGCAAACCGAGTATCTCAGAATTATGAAGCAAGTTCACAACTCCTAAACAGGCGCTGACAGTATACTGATTACATCATATATATATATATATATATATATATATATATATATATATATATATATATATATATATATATATATATATATATATATATATATATATATATATATATATATATATATAAATGGTTTGGTCGTGTCATTAGAATGCAGCCACACAAAGTATCAACTCAGCCGCCATACTTAAAAGAATCTGATGGGAAGAGTCCTTATAGAGAATATGGATTGATGACATGAATACTTTTGTTCAAAGAAAGCTAAAAGAAAAACAATTTATCATGAATCTGGAAATTCTCCCAAAAGACTTTAAAAACAATCATTTGACACAGACTACTATCATATTTAGACAAATTTATTTTTCTACATTTTCAAGAGCAAATTCTCCAGATTAATAAAGATATATAAAGGGAGCCGCCAATAAACATAAACAGTGAGAAAAATTAAATGGAATGTAGTACTCGAGAGCTGACAAAAACTACACGTATCGGGAGATCAAGCCATGACCCTGTGACCTATAACACTAAGGTCCCCGGGTGGGTTCCATGGCCACATTTTAGGCAAAACAGAAAAGTAAGTAGACACTCTGCACCCCTAAAAGCATGTCGTAAAAGTCAATTAATTAGGGGTGTTGCTTTGAAATCGGAGTGCATCTGCCTGAGAGGCGGGAAACCGTCAGTCTGCATACAAAAAAAACCTGATCTGTAAAACGTAAGACTCTATTTCTAGAACAAGACCAAAGTCGAGAAGTGGACGAACAGCCATAACCTTTTGCCAGAGTTTACAAGTAAGAAGACGAAGACTAAATCAAGGCCACATTCTGACATCGCAGTGGCTTTAGAAAAGGGCATTTGATTCATTTAAAAAAAAACCCCTAAATGTTATTGTTAGTAAATATATTCATATCCAGTTTTGCTAAACACTGTACAGGCATGAACAGAACCAATAACATTAAACTACGCTTTCTGGAAACAGGTCACTGCCGACAGGGCAGTTTCGGGACCTTGACAGGAATGTGGCAGTGAGGGTAAGCAGGGTTTGCTGTCTCCCACGATAAAAAAGTGAAAAACTTGATAAGACATCCTGGAAATAACAATAGCCAGAGCTATACCCTGAGCGCGGGACCATCAACTGTTCATGCTTATATTGCTTATCTCTTTCTGCTCTAGAGGGTTCTAGCTGAGTGGTGTGAGAGAGGCAATAATAACATCAACAAACACATATGTATGTCACTTCAGCAAGCCTCAAATAATCATGCCTTGTGGGAAATGAGTGCTTTGTCACACTTTATTTATGTCCATTGTTTCACAGAAGGCATAAAAACACTATCATATGTTGAAACACACACACATATTATCTAGTCCCACACTGTGTTGTTTCTTGCGACATAAAGTGTTAAAAGTGACAGGATTAGGTGATGATGGTAAAGGTAAGAACACAATCATCATGGTGACATAATGGTTGAAATGTCACTAAGCAGCATCTAAGTAAATGTTTAAAGTTTTTATTAAAGCAAAGAAACCGACACATACAACAGAACATTTTAAATAGTCTTTATAAGAACGATTAAAAAATAACAGATACAAAATAATGTTTCAAATAAAGTCGTTATCACAGAGAAAAGCTCACGCAAATACAGCTTTTTTAAAATACAGTCTTTCTAACAGAGTGTACAGCAACCTGGGGTATAAATGGAGCAATGAGGGCAATACAAGACTTTTAATGTCTATTAGCCTCTCTTGCCCAAGCCTGCCTCACCTTCACGTGGTGGACCCTGTTCTTCCCAGCAATCCAGTTGAAGGTTGGTCTCAACCCCCAGCGGGAAACTGGATGGGACAACAAACGAGGTAAAGGCAAAATACGAATGAATGAGCCTACTCTCCTTGAGTATGTTCACAGCCTACCCTAGCAAAACAAGGTGCTAAAGTCGGAGGCAACCAGCCAAGAGGCGCACCACAGCAATCAGGGTGCCACGCACACACGCCATGGAATATGTCTAAATCAAAAATTAGTAAAACTTGGTTGTTTTATTGCCAGGATTTTGTTGTCTATTGTTACATGCCCAGCCGTTTTCCCCTCTGTATTTGTGTTGGCCTGATTCCCTCGTGACTCCTAGCAGCGCCATTCTCTCCAGGGTAGTAGAAGTAGTAATTTAAACCACGACATCCTGTTTAACCGTTGTGGATCTTAACAGGGATACATAATTCTCTCTATGGTTTTACTTATAACAAGCCAGCTGTAGCACTATGGCTAGATGCCTGAATGTTTTTTCGTTTGGATATTCATCATATGAATACGGGAATTGTTTTCTCCAAACTGACCTTGGTTGCCAGGCTGACCCAGCTAAATTGGAAACAGGCATTGTCCTGGGAAGTAAAGGTGGCTGGCTAGTAGGAGGTTGACCACATCACCCATTGTGTGTAGACTAGTCTGTGAAATCTGGTTGCATTTCAAGCTCTCTCTCTCTCTCTCTCTCTCTCTCTCTCTCTCTGCCTCTTAGACACACACACACACACACACACTCATACACACACAGGTTGGAAAACTTACGTTTTATACACTAATGCTTCTTGTTCTTCTTTATGGCAGTTGAGCAAAGCTGGGAGAGTTGTGTCCCATAAGATTGTCTGGTGCTCTTGTGCACTGTTTATAGATATTACATAATCATTGTGTAGTTTGTGGAGGTGAACTGTGGAACGGAAGAACTTTGACTTCGCATCGTCAACTTTTGGACCAGGTTTACCTGAAATTGTCAGATGAAAATTTTCTGGTCAAAATGGCAGAGAAAGACAGATAATGATAAGTCTTCGGTGCTAACAAAACTACAGTACCTGGTAGTAAAGTCTGGTGAAGCAGGTCTATATCCGTCTGAAGTACACGAGAGGAGGTAAAAAGTACTTCATCTACCGTCCTTTTTAGGATGAAATTGTTGGTTATTTGAAGTCCCACTCTGGCTCTTGCCAGGGGCCGCAATATAGCCAGGCCACAAATATGGCCAATTGGCTGAACGCTGTTTCTGGGACCTCTCCACGGGTGATCCTCATCCACATGGTGGCACTTTGTGTCATCGGGTGTTTATCGCTTGTGTGATGTCCTGGTGGGATAGAAAGTCAGTCAATCAGACGATAGGAGGTTTTTCTGATCCCACCCAAACATTGACTGCCGGTCGCTTTGTAGTCGTAGGTGTGCCCTAATATAACTGAGTTGTGTGGTTGAATTTTGTTTCTGCGATTTGTTCCGGTTTGAAACTTATCCATGGAGTGTTAATCCTGCAGACAGCAATAATGCAGATGAGCACTTACCAACCTACCTACCCCGACAGGTGGAATCGTCATCATCATCATGTATCAGGTTCCCTGCAGAACGTCGCTCTTATTAGGGTCGGCCTGAAAGAAACTTGGTCTTTCACCAGCTCTCATAACTGTCATGTTTGTCTGCCTCTTGGTCTACTCTGATTAAACTCTTAGAAGCATGCAGTTTGTGTCTCACTGTTATATGTCATTCGTTACAAAAATTTAAAGTCACCACTTGGAAAAAGAAGGCCAATGATAGAAACGAATGGAGGTGGTTGATATGTGCAGCTTTAAACATCGAGAATTAGGAATAGTGAAGGAGAAGGAGAAGATACAGAAAGAACGTTTAAAATGAATCAAACTCACCCTTAGATTTGAGATCAAGAAATTTAGCTTTGTCTACACTCAGTCTCTCTATTGATTTTGAATATTCTGTTTTATTTTTGTTCATTTCATCCTGCACCTGAAGACAAATAAGATGATAGTGATTTTCTTTGCTGTTGTTGTTGTTTTTTTTTTTTTTTTTTGCTTATAAAGAAAATGCTTCTTTTTCTTCTTCTATTTCTTCTCCCTGCCCACTCCCTCCATTGTCCCCATAATCATTGCAGAAACTCTGTAGCTCCAGAGAAGATCCCATGAAACTTCTCGGAACTAAGTGATGCAGTCCTTGAAACACATTTATGATCTTTAATATATCTAAATCAATTTGAGACTCCTGAAAACACATGTGGACAATGCTTAGGATTCCCAAGCTGCTGCCAATCTAAATACGCCCCCCCCCCCCGCCTTTTTTCGCCCATCCCAAGCCTACCAATACTGCCTGTATTTACCACGTATTGCGATGTAGACGGTGGGGGGGGGGGTGGGGGTTTGTGGGTGGGGGGGGGGGGGGGGGGGGTCTTGGAGCCTGAGGATTTAGCGCTGCACGTCTAGTGCTGTCGCCCCGGACTGTGCAGGTTAGGATTCTTTTTTGTTTTTGTTCCTGACAGAAAAAATATACAACCTTACCGAGGATTTGAACTCGGGTCTCCTGCAAGATAGCCAGCTCGGCGTTCTTAACCATTTGATAGATGACAAAGCAGATATAGTCAAGGCCCTTTGAAAACAAGCAACGGAATTAGAAGCGAAACAATATTTTTATGGCCTGGAGAGAATGAGGCACCTATTGTAACCAGGTGGTCTGGCTGGCTCACTACACTCAGGGGAAAGGTAAGACGGACGTACAACCAGATTAAGACCGGTACCATTAGTACTGGAACTTTGCACTGGCTGCTGAATATGAGGACATTGCACACATAGGAATGATCCCGAGTGCTGTGATATCAATCCTTGACTCACCTCAACTCAAATCAACGCAACTCTTTACCATTTGGCAAGTACCCCCTTTACCTAAATACTAACCACATCTATGTTGCTTGGACTTTGGTAACTGGATAAAAACTGGTATAACACGGTAAGAACATAAACAAATCACCACTTCTACTTTTGGATGGGTTCATAATGTATTTTTTTACTTGGTATGACCAGAGACAAAGTATTCAAGAAAACTGATGAACAATAAATGGGATGGATTAAAATAATGAAAATAATTAAGAGAAACATCTGAACAACTCGTGGTTTCAACAGTTATAAGACAGAGAAGACAGTGACATATTGGGCACATTCCGGGGAGAAGGAAACAGGCAAACAACCAACAGGCACTTAAATGGGAAAGACATGGATCAGAAAATGAGGACATCTAAAAAAACATTGATTAGTGATTAATGATTAAAAAAGATTATCATCACAGCACTCTAGACAGATCCATAGCTGCTTCGATCTCCTCCTCAAAAGCTCCACAAGTATAACACGACTGACGACGTCTGTTCTGTGTTGGTTAATGAAACGTCTTGTCCTCTTAGTGAAATGTTCATTTCTTGTTGCTCCAGGCTGCACCCCCATGTCCATCAGTCTAGACAGGGATATGGAGTCATGTCCTTTGCCGTGCTCCTCGGTACGGTAAGTGCAGCACATAGCATTGATAACATCACTTCTGTCCAGTACTGGGCCAGCCATAGCAACTGCAGTGTCAGCAAGATAGTCTGCACGCTCGTTCCCTTGAACACCCGTATAACCTGGCACAAAGATGAAGGTTAGGGCAGCTATTCGTTAAGTGCTTAGTGTTGCAATCCATTCTTGCCTGATAAATCCAGCTTAGAACATTGATGAAAGAGGTCAAGTTTACTGGACTGAATTCTATGATATTGAAACAACCGCAAAGGATAGAAGGGGGAAAAAACCTATGGAGACGATACAGTTTTGATAGCGGAAAATGCAACTGATTTACAACTGCAGAATATTGTGAGGATGGAGAGTGCTAAGAAAGGACTTTCATTGAATATTAAGAAAACGGAAGTAATAATTATATCAAAGAAGAAGATAATTCCAAGTTGTGATATCTCAATTAAAGAAAAAAGACTTAACCAAGTCAATACATTTAAATATATGGGAACAATCATATCATCAGATGGAAAATATGTGACAGAGATTAAAAGTAGAATAGGTCAAGCGAAGGCTGCATTTTAGAAAATGAAAAATATCTTATGCAATAAATCGCTCTTGTTTAATGTCAGAAAGTGGATGCTAAAATGTTACATAGAACTTGTTCTGCTGTATGGCAGCGAATCTTGGAATGTCACTGAACAAATTAGGAAGAATTTGGAAGCAACAGAGATGTGGTTTCTAAGACGAATGTTACGAAAATACCTTGGACGGCCACAGTAACTAACAACGATTGCTTGAAAGAAGCTAATGAAGGTTGATGACTGTATACAACAATAAAAAAAATAGACAAACACTGTTCTTTGGCCACATAATTAGAAGAGAGACATTTTAGAAAATTGGACAACTGGAAAGATCAGTGAAAAAAGGGGTAGAGGCAGACCACGAGATAGTGATGCTGGATGGGCTGAAACGAAAGCATGGAGGGGTTTCATCAAGTGCAGTTCCAGTCAACCAGGGATCGTGATCTGCGGAGACGCATGAGCGCCTACGCCAGTTGGCAGGGCACATGATGATGATGAACCACATTGGGAGGGTCAAAATGTTTCCAGAACTGATGCCTAGAATGCACACAGATGCCTATGTATACAATTATACGTAGTGAGTTTATGCTTCTTTTTGTGTGTGCGTGTGTGTGGCTTGTCCTATATACAATTGTTATAATACATTTGAATGAAAATTGTGTTTGAAAGATATAAATAGGATTACCATCAGTTTGACTTTTGACCAGATTACCTTATGACCAGTTTGACTTTTGACAAGATTGACATCAGTTTGACTTTTGACCAGATTACCTTATGACCAGTTTGACTTTTGACAAGATTGACTTATGACCTGTTAGTTAGAACAGAACTTGGTGTTAAGTTGAGCAGACACTGTATATTCTTCTTATTTAAGTCCATGCCGTATGACGTTGGTAGTCATGTTTATTCACAACCTTATGTCTCATGTACTTTTAATCAACTCTGACACGGATGATCCTCCATGACGTAATGCCAAAATGTCCAGCATCTATTCTCTTGGTCTCCCTCTGCCTCTCTGCCCCCATAGAAGATAAAACATATGTGAAAAATAGCGCCCATTAATTTAGATTTGTTACAACTTATACGTTTTACTGTAGTTAAAAATGTGCACATTCCAGTGCTTGTATTGATTATTCTGATGCTATTGCAAACTTTTAATATTACTTGATGTGTGAATGAAATGATGTAAGAATGGAGGGAGACCTCGAAGGGCAGAATGTTAGACGGGCCTGCGTGCCTAATTCTTAACCCTTTAAAATTAAAGTTTGTTCATCCGTTCGTTCGTTCGTTTGTTGGTTCTCTTCCCCTCCAACATTCTACAGTCACAATGTACTCCAGCTTTCTCCTTCTCATCACATGACCAAAGAATAAAGATTGTCTGATGTGGGCAATCAGTTAGTTCTCTTCGTTAGTACGCTGTATGTTACCAGGCAGGGATCTTGTCAAGTGCATTACTTCAGTTACTTGAACATATAATAAAGAAAAGAAAACATTCTTTCCCCTAAAATACACGATCAAAATCTCTATTTAAACGTTACATCTCTCAGCCATACATTCAAGATTACCCATGTACCCACCATGGCTATTGCTAATTTACTTCATTCTCTTTTGCAAAACAAAATCATACGATTTTCTTTAGGACTCTTTTGAAGAAAATTAACACGGATTCATGAAGAAAAACATTCAACATTTACATGGAATGACAACAGCCAGTGCTGTCCATTGAACAGGGGCCTGCAAACTTTCTCCGTGCAATGCTTAACAGTGCAAGTTGTAATTGGTGATTATGTTGATCATCATCTAGCTGGTTGGATATTTTGTTAATTGTATAGATGTCTTGCTGACTGGCTGGTTGCTTGGATGACTGGTTGATTGTGTGCATGGTTGGCTAAATGGCTTCGTAGTTAGAAAGTTGTTTGGATAACTGGTAAGATGGCTGGATGGTTGGGTGGATGGTTAGTTCATTGTGTGGAAGACTGGTTGAATGGCTGGTTGAATAGATTGTTTATATGATGACTAGATGGTTGACGATGAATTAATTGTAGGCTGGGTGGTTGAATAATTGTTAAGATAGTCTTTAAAAACATATCATATATTTTGTGTTAATCTGCAAAAAAAAAAAAAAAAAAAAAAAAAAAAAAAAAAAAAAAAAAAAAGACTTTAAAAAAAAAATCTCTAAGTACTGACTTTTTGTCTCGAAATATATCTTCATTCGGTCTATCTCTAAATGTCATTTTCTTTGCTTAGCTCCATGTGCAAACCTTTAGTTTATCTCTCAGTGCAAATCTTGTTTTTTAATTTTATTTTTAAATGTAAACTTTCCCCCCTCTTCTAAATGCAAACATTTATTTCTAAATGCAACTTTTAGTTTATCTATTAAATCAAACCTTTTTATTTAACTCCAAAAGCATACAAAAACGTACTTTGAAAACATTGCAACACTCGCGGAATTCAGAAGTATCAAACTTCTGAGCCAGACTGAGCATCTTGCTCAAACCCATAGCGTACTTCCGGTCATTGTCAACATGCATGGAGATAAAATGCTGGATCGTGTCAAGCAGACAACTGCAATTCTAATACTGTGATAAACATTCTGTGTGCTTTTCGTTGGCACAGAAGCGGAGCAAAGATGGGGTGACCCGTTTGCTATGAAGCTGAAACTAAGACTACCAGACTACCAGACATCTACCAACCTATCCAAATGAGGTGAGTTGATTCAACAATCGATAGCCCCTCACTTGGGGCATTCCGATAAGCGCTCCGTCCCCATCTTTAGCACCAAGCGGCTGAGTTCTAATACCAATTTTGCCAACAGCATTCTGATAATACGCCGGTCTTGTCTTTCCTCTGAGCGTCAAGTATCGACTA